CCCGCCTCACTCCCGCCCCAGTCCGGCCCGGCTCTCCGGCTGCGCGCTCCAGGCTGGGTGCGAGCCATGGGCAGCGGTAGCAGCCGGAGCAGCCGGATCCCGAGGCGGCGGCGCAGCCCTGACAGGCGCCAGGCGGACCCGGGAGAGGCAACCTCGGAGGGCGGTACAGCTGACCAGGCCCTGAAGGCCGTGAGGCAGGAGGAGACCGGCCCCGATTTCCGCCCCACGACGCCCCCCGGCGGCCGGGAGGAGACCCTGCGCCTGTTGGACCAGTTGCTGGCCGAGTCCGAAACCTGGGGGACCCAGGAGCCGACCCCACGAGGCCCCGCCCGGCTTTCACCCGCGGTGAGTGTGGGCGCCTGTCTCTCCAGACGCATCCTTTCTGTAGCCCCAGTGTCCTCCCACCCAGGCCTCTCCCCACTCTGCGCCCCTGTCTCCAGCAAACCAACCCAGTGTCACCCCCCCCGTTTTGTCCTAGGGCGCTGTGACCCTTCCTTACTCCCACCCTGCATATTCTCACTCTGCCTTCTTGGTGGGTGCCCGCCACTATCTCTATTTTGGGGTGACTCTCAGAGGCAGCCTTAAAGGACCAAGTACAAACAGCAGTTGGCAGAAACACCTAGAACTTCCTTCTGGTCCAGGGCTTGCCTTCCTTTCCCAGCAGGGCTGCATGCAGTCTGCAGCATCCTTGCAGCTCAGGTGGGAACTGACCAGCAAGGGCCTCCGCCTTGGCCATTAGGAGACACACTGAGGAGGCAGTAAGTGGGTGGATCACCTGCCAAACAGTGGTTCGAAAACGCCCTGCCGCGTCGGACGCGTCCGGATCTTTGGCTTGCAATTCCCGCATTGCAAGCTATTTTTAAGATGCGGCTTCCTCATCTTCTCTTGCTGAACACTTGTAATAACACCCCCGCTGTTCTAGAAAAACAATGGAAAACCAGCGCTCTGGTTTGGCACGCCTTTGGTGCTGCAGAGCTAAAATTCAGAACCGTCTTAGCGGCTCCTGGCTGGAAGAGGAGGCTAGAGGCAGTCGTACCCGGAGGCTTCACTGCGGGCCGCCGAGACAGAGGGAATGTCTTCTTGGACCCGGATACCGGGCAAGCATCAGGGAAAGGCCACTGGAATGGTGGGAAGACAGCTCAATCCCTGCACCCGCAACAGGGCTCTGTCCCACATCCCTCCTCCCCCACTGCCCTGTGGTGGTTTATGACAGGACAAGTCAGCCGTAGTGAGAACTGAATTATATAACGGAATTCCTCTAAGACTACATCAGCCTGCAGTTATGTAAGACCAACAAAGAGCAAACAGTTGGGGAGATTTGGACATAGCAAGGAAACAAACTTTCGGTATTATTTTCAAGTGCTTAGGGAACTTCAAAGGTGTGGAAATGAATGAACTTTCCCTCTCTCTTGCTGAGTGTCCGCTGGAAGAGCATCCTAGAGACAGGATCTCCTGGACTCTGTTACAGTAAGCGGGGCTTGCTTTAGGTATCAGGGGCAAAGACAGGTGCCCAGAGCGCTGGCCTGGGATCCAGGGGGACAGAACGATCCAAAGATCAAGTACACGATGCAGTGGAGAGAAGTCAGTCTGAGGAGTCCACAGGAAGGAGGGACAGGCATGCTCTAAGGGTGGAAAGGCTTGAGTCTGAGGTGGTCACAGGACAAGAGCAGAGCACAAGGCGGGGAGGGACCCTAGGTACACTGATGGCGGTGGCATGTTAGCGCTGGTGCAGCTGTGGCGGTGGCATGTTAGCGCTGGTGCAGCTGTGGCGGTGGCATATTAGCGCGGGTGTAGCTGTGGTGGTGGCATGTTAGCTCTGGTGCAGCTGTGGTGGTGGCATGTTAATGCTGGTGTAGCTGTGGCGGTGGCATGTTAGCGTGGGTGCAGCTGTGACGGTGGCATGTTAGCACTGGTGCAGCTGTGACGGTGGCATGTTAATGCTGGTGTAGCTATGGCGGTGGCATGTTAGCGCTGGTGTAGCTGTGCCGGTGGCATGTTAATGCTGGTGTAGCTGTGGCGGTGGCATGTTAGTGTGGGTGCAGCTGTGCCGGTGGCATGTTAATGCTGGTGTAGCTGTGGCGGTGGCATGTTAATGCTGGTGTAGCTGTGACGGTGGCATGTTAGCGCTGGTGTAGCTGTGGCGGTGGCATGTTAGCGTGGGTGCAGCTGTGGCGGTGGCATGTTAGCACTGGTGCAGCTGTGACGGTGGCATGTTAGCGCGGGTGTAGCTGTGCCGGTGGCATGTTAGCGCTGGTGCAGCTGTGATGGTGGCATGTTAATGCTGGTGTAGCTGTGGCGGTGGCATGTTAGCGCTGGTGCAGCTGTGCCGGTGGCATGTTAGCGCGGGTGTAGCTGTGCCGGTGGCATGTTAGCACGGGTGTAGCTGTGGCGGTGGCATGTTAATGCTGGTGCAGCTGTGGCGGTGGCATGTTAATGCTGGTGTAGCTGTGCCGGTGGCATGTTAATGCTGGTGCAGCTGTGGCGGTGGCATGTTAATGCTCGTGCAGCTGTGGCGGTGTCATGTTAGCGCTGGTGCAGCTGTGGCGGTGGCATGTTAGCGCTGGTGCAGCTGTGGCGGTGGCATGTTAGCACTGGTGCAGCTGTGGCGGTGGCATGTTAGCGCTGGTGCAGCTGTGCCGGTGGCATGTTAGCGTGGGTGTAGCTGTGGCGGTGGCATGTTAGCGTGGGTGTAGCTGTGGCGGTGGCATGTTAGCGCTGGTGCAGCTGTGCCGGTGGCATGTTAGCGTGGGTGTAGCTGTGGCGGTGGCATGTTAATGCTGGTGCAGCTGTGGTGGTGGCATGTTAGCGCGGGTGCAGCTTTGCCGGTGGCATGTTAGTGCTGGTGCAGCTGTGGCGGTGGCATGTTAGCGCTGGTGCAGCTGTGGCGGTGGCATGTTAGCACTGGTGCAGCTGTGGCGGTGGCATGTTAGCTCTGGTGCAGCTGTGCCGGTGGCATGTTAATGCTGGTGTAGCTGTGACGGTGGCATGTTAGCGCTGGTGTAGCTGCAGAGGTCTTTAGCCACATGAGGGGGTGTAGACTCTACTGAGAAGCATTTGAAGTCTGAAGGGAGTACAGTTTTTGTGACTCAAGAGCAGGAGAAGGGTGAATCAGACAGAAGAACGTGTGGGGCACCACGATCCACCAGGGTGACTCTGGCTGTCCAACTGACCGGGTCCTGGACCCAAGCAGTAGCCAAGAAAGAGGTATGAGGAGGTAGGTTCAAGAAATAAAGTTTGTGCCAGAGCTGGCGGCGTACACCTTTACTCCCAGCCTTGGGAAGCAGAGGCAGGTGGATCTCTGTGAGCTTGAGGCCAGCTGGGACTACAGAGCAAGTTCTAAGACAACTAGGGCTACACAAAAAGACCTGCGACATCAGAGCAGTGGTCACCCTTTGGGAGGGGAGGGGGCAGGCCTCAGCTGTGTCCCCTGGACCATGAATGTTTCTCAAACTAATGACTGAATCCCAGAGCTCCAAGAGAGACAAAGTCGGGAAGTGAGGCCCCTGCTTCTAAAAAGCGCAGCACACTCTAGAGCTTGGAACCCAGGCTCCTGTGCTGTGCGGCTTGCTCACATCTGCCTGCATCTGCCCGTATCTGTAACTGATTCCCTCAGGAGCTGCACACCTTACAGGATTCTGGATTGGTGACTCCCAGTGGAGACAGAAAAGAATAGCAAGTTCAAGAACCATCCATAGAAGGTGGCCTTCCTTCATAACGTTGAGACAGTGTCCCCCCCAAGCAAAATGACAGACCTTATAAGGGCCTTCATTTAAACGCTGCAGCCAGTGCGCTGAGGTTGGAGCGCAGCAGTAAAGAGCTGGCCTAGCATGCATAAGCCCTTCAGTCTGATCCTTCACTCCACCAGAAAGCAATGAAAACAAAAAAATTGCAACCACTGTTGACTGGAGCACTTTCAAGACTGATTATGCATTATCCCTGAATTATCATCCCGAATATCATGTTATTCTGGACTTTATTTTTTTTTTATAAAAAAATATCTTTATAAAAAAAATAGTTCTAGAGGGCTGGAGGGATGACTCAGTCGTTCTGAGTTTTTCTTGCTATTGCAGAGGACCTGAGTCCCACCACCTACATCAGGCTCCCTCCAGGGGTTCTGGTGCCCCCTTTTGGTCTCTGAGGGTACTGTACTTTTGTTCAAATCCACACAGACACAGGTACAAATAATTAAAAAATAAAAATTAAAACAAACGATACAGTTTTAGCTAATATTTTAATGAGTACTCAAGTCTCAGTCTTGCACTTATTCTCTCCATGCTCACCCATATTTTTAATATTTTTATTTTTTAATGACACAATAATTGTACTTATTTATGGAGTACGAGATCAAAGAAGTGCTGGGATTACAGGCATGTACCACCGTGTTTATCTGTTTAGGCAATTTTTTGAGGCTGGATTTATTTGTTTTAGTTTTGTCAAATTGAGGGTTATAAGAAAAAGATTAAAAGTAAGGATAATCTTACTATCTTATTTTATTTATGTGTCTTTGTGTCTGTTTTGAATTGTCCCACTTAAACCATCTCCTAGACAGATTTTTCCCCTGCTTGTATCCTTACATATTTTAAGGGACATGAGATAGCCTACCAAATTCCTGCCCTGTAAGTCACGGACCCAACCCCCTCTCTTGTTACCGTTTTTGAATTAATTTTTAATTTCATGGCCACATGAAGTGCCCGAGGCAGAAGTCCTTTCCCAGAGTCAGTAGCTCTCAAATATCGTGTTAGTTGGGGATCTGAAACGTCAACCTCTGCAGAATGGGAAGGCTGAGCAAACCTGTGAAATCTGAATAGGTGGTTTTACAGTCGTTTAGTATTTGGAAGAGCACAGTATCACCCCGTTAATCAGTGGTCTCTTCCTGGGCAAAATGAGCCATCTGATATGGATTTATCCACGGGGGGGGGGGGCAGGGAACGGCAGTGTCCTCCCACCTCTTCAAATGTTTGCCCCCGTGGGGGAGGGTCACAGATAGGGCTCTGCTAGGTCATGGAGTTACTGCACCGCCTCAGCCCCAGAGTACGCAACACTGGCAGCATCTGAAGGTGCTTACAGAGAAGAATTTGGTTCTGTACCGAAACCATCTGTTCAGTGTTTTCAGTACTAGAGTAGTAACCCAGTGCTCTCCCCCACTTCCTGCTGCCCTGCCCCCAGTCAGGTGGTCTAGGAAGTCGTAAAGAGCATTGCTGTCACCAAGAGATAGATAGTATCATTTTTCACAAGCCTGTGTAGAACAGCGATACCTTGTTTTGGAGCTGAGTGACACCTTGCTCCCTGCATTTGCACAGTTTCTGATTTACTGTAGCCCAGGAGGACTGGGGGAGTCTTGTCTGTTGCCACCAACCAAGCCTTTAGGGTGATCATGATTTGCACTGCTGTGGAGTGTGAAGTGAATAAGCAATAGAAAGGAGCTCACAGCTGCGGAGTGGACTCTCCAGAAGGACACAGAGATGCTGGATTCACAGTCAAAGCAAAACAGCTCCTAGAAGAACCAGTGTGTCTGCAGTCAAGGCTAGAGCAAAGATCACGCCTGTAAATAGTGCGAAGAGTGAAGCATAGGGTTGACTCACACAGTGCTGGGAAGGCCACGGAGAGAGTCCACGCTGCAGCAAAGAGGAGTCCACGCTGCAGCAAGGAGGAGCCCACACTGCAACGAGGAGGGGAGTCCACACTGCAGCAAGGAGGGAGTCCACGCTGCAACGAGGAGAAAGTCCATGCTGCAACAAGGAGGGAGTCCACGCTGCAACAAGGACAAAGTCCATGCTGCAACAAGGAGGGAGTCCACGCTGCAACAAGAAGGCTGAGGAAGGAATGCCCCATGGGAAAGACAGCACCAAGGAGCAGAGTGCCGTCAAGGAGTGGAGAAACCTTAGCCAGAAGAAGTCTCCACAGTCATCAGATGGCCAGGGGAGCACCCCAGGAGCCCAGCCCTGGATAAAAGGATGGGACATTCCATCAGGAAACCCCAGAAGTGGAAACCACTTCCATTTTCTTTCAGAGCCAGGCTGTGATGCTGCTTCCCTGTAAGCACAACACTTGGGAGGTAGAGGCAGACAGATGTCCGTGAGTTGGAGGCCAGCCTGGTCTACCTGGGGAGTTCCAGGCCAGCCAGGGCTACATAGCAGTAGACTCTGTCTCAAAAGAGTAGATTCTGAATAGAAAGAATTTTAAAATGGAAAGAAAATAGGCAAATCCTTCGTTCAGATCTTAGGGGCAGGGTCCTGGCAGATCGTAGCCACAGTAAGATTCCAGAAGTGCCCTTCCTAGGGAGGGGGAGGCACAGACGGCCTTGGTCCCTCCACACTGGTCCCAGTCCTGTTAGGGTCAGAATGGGTTCTCATGGCCTCGCTTGCTATTGAGATCTGGCGGTAGTCGTGGAGGCCTGGGGCTTTCAGGGAAGCCACAAGGGAACACATCCTATGAGGCCGCTAACCACCGTGCTGGAAGACCAGTGCCCTCTGGTGGTGAAGAGAGGACACTGACTGGCAAAATCTTGAAAACTGCCTGCTGGTTGGTGGATTAGGTACTGGAGGTCCCTTAATGCTTTTCTGTCTATCATGTGTATGTGTCCTAGGTAAAACCAACAGCCCCCTCCCAACCAAACAAACCCATCACCACCAGGCTGGTAAAGTGTATTTTACCTCAGGTAAAGTGGTTTATTTTCTGGGTATTTTGTTTTCTTTGGTATTTGAGACAGGGTCTTATGTAGCTCAGGTTGGCCCTAAACTCCCTTTGTAGTTGAAAATGGCTTTGAACTCCTGATCCCCCTGCCGTAGCTTCCTGAGAGCTGGGATTACCAGTGTGCAACACTCATCCATCCCAGCTGGACTTTAAAAAGAGTATTTATTTAGTTGTAAGTGTCTGGGTGTGTTTCTACATGCAGGGGCCTGTGGAGTCCAGAAGGCAGTACTGGACCCTCTGAGGCTGGAGTTACAGACCGTTCTGAGCCAACCCGGAGATGCTGTAATCAGACCCAGGCACGCCGGAGGAGCGGCACGCACTCTTATTCTTATTCAGCACTGTATTAAGGCTGTCTAAAGTGCAGACTTATAGAATGGATCTCCTTTTCTCTATATAAAGAAAAGGGATTTGTCAGAGCCACTCACAGGCTATGGTCCAACTAACCCAACAATGGCGGACTGTGAACGGAAAGTCCAAGAATCTAGAAGTTGCTCAGTCCACGAGACTGGATGTCTCAGCTGGTCTTCAGACCACTGACATCCTGAAAAAGTAGGTGGTAAGGCCATTGCAGGAGTGAACTCGCTAGCTAGGCTAGAGCAAGCAAGCAAAGAGCAAAAGCTTCCTTTTTCTTCCAAGCCCTTATATAGGCTTCCAGCAGAAGGTGTGGCCCAGATTAAAGGTGTGTCTTCCCACCTCAAAGGTCCAGACTAGAAGTAGATTAATGTAACTGGAGGTTTCTCTCCTGCCCGTCAGTTCCTGAAAAACCACTCTGAGGCTTAATATTAATTACAAACTACTTAGTCTAATAATAAGCTCAGGCTTATTAATTAGCTCTTACAACTTAAAACAACCCATTTCTATTATTCTACATTTTACCACAAGGCTTGTGGCTTGTTACCTCACACCTCGCCTTCTCTGGCAGCTGCTGGCATCTCCCAGATTCCACCTTCTATTTTCCCGTATCTTTGCTTTGATTTCCTATTTGACTTTATTCAGCCTGGCTATTGGCCAAATCAGTTTCTTTATGGTATCCAATTTTTAAAATTTTATTTATTTATTTATTTGGTTTTTCGAGACAGGGTTTCTCTGTAGTTTTGGAGCCTGTCCTGGAACTAGCTCTTGTAGACCAAGCTGCCCTCGAACTCACAGAGATCCTCTTGCCTCTGCCTTCCAAGTGCTGGGATTAAAGGCGTGCGCCACCACCACTCAGCATGGTAACCAATGCTAATAAAACATATTCACAGCATCCAGAAGGGCATCCCACATCAGATTTACTCATTTCAAACCAAGCAAAAAAAAATCTCTCCCAGGTGTGCCCTCCATTTCTGGATTGTAGTTCATTCCAGATGTAGTCGGGTTGACAACCAAGAATAGCCATCACAACGAATAAGCTATCTCTCTACCAACTCCTATCTAGCTTAAAACCAAACCAAACCAAAACAAACCCTTCAAATATCTTTCTGTGGGGGCTGGGAAGATGGGTCAGTGGGTTAAGTGTCTGCTGTGCAAACATGTGGACACGATTCAGATACCCAACACTCACATAAACCAGGTATGGCAGTGTGCACCTATAACCACAGTGCTCTGGGGATTGAGAAAGGGGTCCCTGGAGCTCACCGGCCAGCCAGTTTAGCCAATCTTTGAGCTCTGGGCTTAAAAAAACAAACAAAAAAAAAAAATCAAAAACAAAATAGAAAAGTAGTATTATAGAGGAATACATTCTACTTCAGCCTGCCTTGCACATGGATGTGCACACATATCACATTTGCATGCACACACACCTCTACCTGCACACTCACACACATATGCACACATGTACACAACGCACATATGCACACACAAGCACACATGCACACACGCATGTGCGCACACACACTTTTCCCCGGGATAGCTGTTAAATTGAATGTCTGAAAAAAAATTTGTTTTAGAGCTGGAGAGATGGCTCAGAGGTTAAGAGCACTGGCTGCTGTTCCAGAGGTCCTAAGTTCAATTCCCAGCAACCACGTGGTGGCTCACAACTATCTGTAATGAGATTTGGTGCCCTCTTCTGGCCTGCAAGTATACATGCAAGCAGAACACTGTATATGTAATAAATAAATATATCTTAACAAAAAAATTATTTTATTCTGATGGATTCTAGAATTAGAATTACAAATTCAAAATGGCTCTTGCAGATCTTTGGAGCATCTGACTGTGGTCTGCAAGTGGCCACCGAGCAGCCTACCGCCGTCTATCTCATCCGTCCGTTCTTGACTTTGGTGACCAGTCTTCACCTGAGCTCTTATCCTAGAAGCTTTTACAGTTTCCCTCCTAATCTGTGTAAAATTATCCCTTCAAACTGCTATAACAAACACTTTAGGCTAGGCCACTTATATGCAACATAACTATTGTTCACAGTTCTTTTTAAAAATAGCAATTGTTTTCATTGTTTAAATAAACATACACATGTATATTTTGAGACAAGTTCTCACTCTGAAGCCTAGGCTGTCTTTAAACTTACAGCAATCCTCCTGCCTCAGCTTCCCAAATGCTGGAATTTTAAGTGTGTGTCCAGGTTAAACATGAATACTTAATGCATACTTAAAGTTGGGAGGGCTAAGGCTCTTGAGACTGGACATGATCTCTAGAGGGAGAAGAAGGTGGTCTCATGCTACACAGCATTGGGCACTGGTGTCTGGAGGTGAGGGAAGGAATGACCTCGCAAGAGCAAGTAGCTGGGAGGCAGGAGATCTGACCTCAGCCCTGCTGGTTCCTCTGCTTACTCATTTATAAGTCCCTCCCACAGCCTCAGTTTTCATGACTGTAAAATGGGTAACTGGGGCTCCAGAGTCACAGAGAACCTTGCCCGTTCTGATATTTACAGACCTGAGTTAAGCCTGGCAGTTGCTGTTTTACCCACAAAGCTAGCGCGTTAATCAACTATACTGTGGGCACGTTTTCATGCTGCTTCCTCTCCTCCCACTCAAGGTGTCCCCAGAAAAGAAGACGAAGGACGACCCTGAAGAGAGCTGTACCCCTGAGTAAGTATGGGGAGGGGCTATGATCCTCCGCAAGCCCACAGTGCTCCAGTTCCAGTCGCCTCAAAGCTCTCCCGTCCCCACTGTCCCCACTGTCCCCACTGTCCCCACCGTCCTGCAGGTCAGTGAGGCTCAGGTAGAGCTGGGCTGTCAAGGGGAGCCTAGGGAGGTCGCAGCCCAGTCACTCACAGCAGCGTGAGTTTCCTCCTGTATGGGGTCATGACCTGGCTTCTCTGTGGCCATTCTGGACCCTTCGGATCCATTCAGATGTACTTGCGTGTCCCACCTGCTCTCCTAGTGGTTTTATCTGTAAAGAGTGCTCTTTGCTGTAAGGAATTCAGAGCCTAGATAGTGACAGTAACCACCAGCAGCTCCAAAAAAGTCATTAGGAGGAAAATGCACGTGAAACTCCTGTAAATTTCATGCTTGGTGCTGCCAGGCTGGTGGCTCGAGACAGGGTTTCCCTGTAGCTTTGGAGCCTGTCCTGGAACTAGCTCTTGTAGACCAGGCTGGCCTCGAACTCACAGAGAGATCCACTTGCCTCTGCCTCCCGAGTGCTGGGATTAAAGGCGTGCGCCACCACTGCCCCGGCTCAGTGGCTCAGTCTCTCGGTATTGGAGAGGCAGAGGGACGAGTTCCAGGCTAGCCAGAGCTACACAGTGAGTCCGTGTCCCAAACAAACAAACAATTCACCCCAAAGCCTACAAGTAGTGGCCCAGAGCCTTTAATCCTCCTGAGGGGCTGGGAATACAGGCCAGGGGGAGAGCGTTTGCCTGGCATGTGCACAGAACGACTGCCCAGTACCGAGATAAAATGGGCAAGGCGGTCAGATGACCCAGCAGACAAAGGCGCTCGACTACCTGAGTTAAATCTCCCGAATCTGCATGATAGGCGAAGAGAACCCAGCACCTGTAAGTGTTCTTCAAACTCTATTGTGCACCATAGCACAGTGCCTATACATATATTGACACACCCACACAAGTAAGTACACATGAACAAACACACACAAAGGAATGTCTGTGCTTCTAGTCCTCTGGAGCACAGGGATCATTGGTCCATGTCCCTCCTGCCTCTTCCTCTCTGGGGTCCCACCTGCAGGGATATCAGCATGCCTGGTGGGAGCAGACAGAGCGTGGGGGAGGCTACGGCCAGTCTCCAGTGACCTTGGGTACCATCTGCCCTTAAAGGTTTCAGCTTTCACATCTATTCGTGCCAGGGGCTGGCAGGGGTAACCCTAGAGGGGCTTGTTCCTGTCAGGGGATTCCAGAATGCTCTGGCATTCTGGAAGGACAGCCAGCTTCCTGCCCAGCTCCCTGGCTTGTTCTAAGGCTATGCTGAACCATTATTTGCATTCCTTCCCCCTACCAGCAGTCAGTAGAGACTCCCCAGGACCGGGCTGGGAGGGCAGCTATTCTAAGCTTGGAGGTTGCAAACAGCAAACAGCTCTCATGCACACTGTTGCAGGCTTGCAAGGCTGCAACTCTCCACACACTTGCTACTGTTCAGTCCCTCCTAAGCGCTCATCTCTGTTCTAGACACACGCAGCACTTCAGCCAACCGCAGGCAGTCTGGAGGTGGCAGCCCTTCCTCTCACTGACGGAGCCTGGGGGAAGGGACAAATGGTCCAGGGCCATACAGTTACTGTGCATCAAAGCCAGCTGAGATCTGTCCTCCTCCAAAGCCCTTGGATATTCCCCTTTGCCCCACAGACACAGTAGGAAAGACAGGGCTTTGGCGGCAGGCTGATCTCAGGATATCAAGCTGCGGTACCCAGGCCTCTCATCCATGTTTTGGGAGACGTATACAGAGCCCTGGACTCTGTTCTCGGAAGGTCAGCCAGGAGCATCGGATGGAGCTTGGCATCTACCTTGGCCTGCCTCATCCTCATTGCAGGTCTTGGTGGATAAAATGGGAGGACGAAGGCAGATATGAGCGACGATGACCATGTCTGTGTGTTGGGTAGGAAGAGATTTGGGTGTCTCCAGATCAAAGGTTTTGGTTTGGATGTTAGGATGAACCACTGAAACACCACTGTGGCTGCCCGAGGAAATGCGAGTTTGAAGGTGATACCCACCCTTGTCTGTGTTTCTCACCCACAGAGCCCCAAGCAGCAGCCACAAGAGACCCGAGGGGCAGTCGGCCATCTCCTATGATTACTCCGAGGAGGAGCTGATGGCGAGCATCGAGCGGGAGTACTGCCGCTGAGCTGGCTGAGCAGTCTTGGTTACCTCTGGCCAGGCTTCGCAGGCCTGTGAGCTGGGCTCCTGTTAGAGGGTACCACCTTTTGCTCCACCTGTGACCTGTGAGCTGGGCTCCCGTCAGAGGGTACCACCTTGCTCCACCCAGGCCTGTGAGCTGGGCTCCCGTCAGAGGGTACCACCTTGCTCCACCCAGGCCTGTGAGCTGGGCTCCCGTCAGAGGGTACCACCTTGCTCCACCCAGGCCTGTGAGCTGGGCTCCCGTTAGAGGGTACCACCCTGCTCCACCCGTGGCCTGTGAGCTGGGCTCCCGATAGAGGGTACCACCCTGCTCCACCCGTGGCCCAGCCAGAGCGAAACCACTTCTAGAATACAGCTCTCTTTCCACGCTGGTCTCTAAAGATTCGTGATCAGAGTTCTGCCGCTGGCAGACCAAAACTAAGGGTAAGCAGGCCCTGGGCCACAGGTGTGGGGGCACTGGTGCCTCCTCCCACACAGGGGGAGCCTGGCTGTGTGGTTCCCCTGAAATCTGAATTGTTGGTCCTTTCTGCTTACTCACTTTCCAAGTGGGGAAGGGTCGGTGCTGGCATCCCTTTATGACATGAGCTTGTGGTGGGAAGCAGAGCTCATCGATGCCCTCTCTGGGCCTCAGTTTCTCTCTGGGGGAGGGGGAGGTGGTAATCCTGGAGGTTCTTTGAGACCTTTCAAGCCGTTAGTCTGGTAGCTCTACCGTCCAGCCTGTAATCTCCCAGTTGCCAGTGTGCTTTGGCTGAGTGCAGAACCATATAGGAGCCGAGAGAGGGAACCCACACTGAGATAGGGCTTCACAGCAACTGCTCTCCCTGGCTGGCAGCAACTGCTCTCTTTCGGCTGGCAGTCTGCCTGGGGGCTGTGAACCTCTTCTCCTCCTCCCTGCTTGGGTGGGAGGCAGTCAGGATAATGATGCCAGAAGAGGTTTCAGACATCCCCAGTGGACAGGTGGGGAAATGCAGAGAGCCTATGGGAAGGAGGGTAGGGCTTGTGTGGGCCCTGTAGGGCCTGGCGCTTGCTCAGGTGTCTGAGGAAGCACCCGCACAGCTGGCGAGGGTGCTGGCAGAAAGGCTTCAGAGATCTGTGAGTGGCGGCACATGCTTACAGGTCACAGCCACCAAGCCAATGCTAGAGGATTCCTGAGAATGGAAGGCTACGTAGTAAATTCAAGACTGGCCTGGACTATGTCGTGAGATTCTGTGTCAGAAAACAGAGTAGAGAACGTTGGAATAGTAGTAGCTCTGGCCAAGGCCAGGCCAGATCTCAGCTTCTGCTGCATCCCCCTACCAAGACAGTGCTCTGCCCCAGTATCCTTCCTCTGCTGAGAGCTGCTGCTGGCCCGCGATCCGATCGCTGGCCTGCGAACCTCAGAGCTCAACATGGAGCATCTCAGGAACCAAGGAAGAATGGTCCCTAGGGCCGTCCCCACATCCACAGTCCTTTGCTGTCACCTGAAAATTATTCCATGAACTTTAGGACTTGACAAGAGTGCCTTTGAGTTTGCAGCTGGGAGACTTGTGCTATAGTCAGAGCCCAGAGCCATCGGGTGTCTACCAGTGGGCTGAGCATCGGGTTAAAACCTCCCAGAGCTTCTCACTGAAGCTCAAAGCACTGCTTTTGATACGAAGATGGAAGTTGTTTCTATTTTAATATTTTACCCTAAATATTACAAATGCTTATTTTAAAAGAGGTTAAAATATTACATTTTTACCAAAGAATGAATCAGACTTTGAAGTTGATGTGAATATTAACAGCTTTATGTATCATGTTTGAGTGGGCACGTTCATCTGATTAAGAGAAAATGGGGGCCGGGCAGTGGTGGCACACACCTTTAATCCTAGTGCTCGGGAGGTAGAGGCAGGCAGATCTCTCTGAGTTTGAGACCAGCCTCGTCTACAGAGGGAGTTCCAGGGCAGCCAGGACTGCACAGAAAAACAAATAAATGAACAAACAAACCTCCCTCAACTCCAAGGATGTTCTGAACAGTGGCTAGCCAGAGCAAAGTGTGTGCCAACTGGAGAGCTGTGGTCCTGGGAAACTCAGGCTCTGGAGAGGCTGGTCCTGCCAGAAGTGGGCTTGGGTATCACTAGAGCAGGAGTACTTCCTGCACTGTCCAAGTGTCAGGTACCCTCCAATGTCCCATATTGCATTGTTGCTTCACAGTTAGCTACCTACGTTATTTCCCCAGCTACATGCCCAGCTCTAGAGTGTGGGATCTGCCTACGCACAGCATGAGCTGACCCTGGCTCCCATCACAGAAAGTCTAACCACAGATGGTCACCAGCTCTGCAGGGGTTCTCCCCCAAGATGTGCCAAGGCTGTGCTTGAGAAAACCCGAGCCCTTCAGAAATCCGGGCAGATTTTTCTGTACATATGGGCAGAACCTTGAGAAGCCCCCAGGCCTCGGCTCTTGTGTTCATGGGTTCTTGGCTCAGCTCAGAAGGAACCTCCCGCACCAGCAGAGATTGGCCAAAACTGCCTGGGACAAGCTTTTAGCACCCTCTTTTTTGGTGTTCCATTTCCTAGAGGCACGTTTCCTGGAATGATGTCCAGGAGTCCCACCCACTCCTGGGGACTCTGGGATTCATGAATGGATGTCACTGCCCCCATGAGAAAGCATTCTGGAGACCAGGAGTCTATCGGCAGTAGCCAGGACACCAGCTGTTGAGTGTCAGGATCATGGAGTATTTTTCTTGTCAAGAATTGTACAGAAATAAAATGTAGTATTTTTTTTTAAGGGCTAAGGTGATGGCTTGGCAGGTAAAAGCTCTTGATGCCAAGCCTGACGACGTGAGCTCCACCCCCAGAGGGGCCAGTGGAAGGGAAGAGCCGACTGCTGCAGGTTGTCCTGATGCCCACATGCATGGATGGCATGGCATAATGCACCCGCCACAGCAATACACTTCCCCTAGATGTGTATGTATATAATCTATCTATCTGTCTGTCTCTATCTAATCTATTATCTATCTTTACCTATATCATCTATTATCTATATCATCTATCTATCTGCACACACGAGGAAGGTATCCCTGCATGATTCTGAGCATTGAAGAGCAAAATTCACAATTTATTTTAAAAGTACTGTTACATTTTGTGTGCACACATGCATGTGTGTCTGTAATACATGGGTGTGCATGCCATGGTGCAGGTGTGGAAGTCAGAGGACAATCTGCAGGAGGTGCTTCTTTCTTTCCACCATATGAATTCCAGTGAGCAAACAGGTGCCCTTGCTCGGTGACAGGTGCTTTTGCCCACTGAGACCTCCTGCAAACCCACAAACCACCTATTAGACTCTGAAGGTTAGTTGCTTCCTCTAGGAAGAAGGCTCCATAATTAGAACTTTTTTGGGGGTGCTGGCCTGAATCTTGGGGAAAACTTGGCCTTGAGAGGCAGGAAAGAACTGTTTCTTGGTGTAAAGAAATCCTTCTTTTGTGGGTGGTGGTGGCTCAAGCCTTTAATCCTAGCACTCAAGAGGCAGAGGCAGGCAGATCTTTGAGTTCGAAGCCAGCCTAGTCTACAGATCGAGTAGGACAGCCTAGGGTTACACAGAGTAATTCTTTCCAGTGTTGGCAAGGAAGCATTGCCCTCTCTGGGGCACGGCGCCTTGGGAAGAACAGAGAAGTTCTTGGATTTCCAGAGGTACTTGACCCGAGGTCTGCACCCCAAAGTTGTTGGTAGCCTCAGGATGGGGCCCCACAACTGCACACCCAGAAACGGAAGCAGAGTGTGTGGTTGCCTGTGGCTGACTGCCCTAGGCCAGTTCCAACTCTCAACAGTGACATCGTGTGGTCATGAGAAGCAGTAGCAACCTGGACCAGGGCTCTGCCCCTGGAAGAAGTAGGACGTCCAGCTGGGCCCTGCTGTGGATGGGCGCTTGTTGGTAACTGTGGGAATGGAAGCTTGTCTCCATTACTCTGCCTTAGGTAAAAGTGGAAGTCCAATTGCTAGTGTTATTATGTTAACTGCCACAACTTGCGTGCAAGAATTCTTACAAGTTGACCTCTTTGCCACTGTACTGCTTCCTCCGAAACAGATTCGAGCCCCCCAAATAAGAGTTCAAGTTAGGTCAATACATGACGAATCTCCTAGACTCATATGAAGACTGTGTGTATTAAGTCGCTGTACACAATTACACAACACAGCACACAAGCCACGTCTGCAAACCAAGGAAGTTTTATAGGATTCAAAGCAAAAGGTTACATCACACATACTCATTTCAATAAGTCTATTACATAAACATAAGGATTTGAAACATTTAAATTTTATTACTAAAACTACCAAAAGGCTCAACAAGGTAAAAAAAAAATCAAATCAAGCAGAACTGCTGAAGCAATAAAGTGCACTGGGGGTACCTCAACATGAGGGGGTCAGGGAGGGCTCTCAAGGGAGCAGGGCCCTCCTGGGGCTCTGGGGCTCAGGAGTCCTTTTCAGACAGGAAATGTTTTCCAACTCAGTCTTTCAGTAGACAGACGGTGGGGGTTCTTCTGCAGAAGGGATTTCTACATCTAATCAGGAAATGGAACCCTATAGTGTTTCAACACATCGGTTATTTCAGAGACAACACTGGTCAGAGGACCTAAGTTCTGTGTGACGATCAACCGAACGCTCCGAGACCTTCCGTGACTCACAGAAACACAGGGACAGGACACACCACTCTGCATGTCATGGTGAAGACAATCGCACTGGATGCCATTTGCCGTTTGTGCAATCGCCAGTGTGGAGGACAGGACTGGGGTATTGGGACACTTGGGAGCTATGTACAGTTCGTTCTCCCGTGGCTACATCATGTGGAAAGACAACAGTGACAATTAACTGGAGAACTGTCCAGACATTGCCTAAACACACATACCTACAAAACTCGGAGGCTACCAAAGGCAGCCTAACAGGGATCAAGTAACAACATACAATGTATGACCACGAGAAGGTTCTATAAGGCTCAAAAGACCTGAACATAAAACCTTATTTTATCTATTTAATATTTCAACCTTGCCATCATTTAAATAAAGTTAAACGCCAATATTAAAAGGCAAATACAAAATCTAATACAATACCACACAAAAATATCCTCAGGCTGCCCAAACAGTGCAATATATTGTTCTCGCTTACTGTATTGCCTGAACTTCCCAAGCTCTAACTAAAGCTAGTTTTTGTGGCCATTTGGACACACAGAGGCCACTCTATGCAGGGCACATGCTCACAAGGTACAGAGCAGCACCGGTGATCTGCTTTCAGGTTAGCTACAAAATCCCCATTCCATGTCTTCTCAGTTGAGCAAAACCATTTCCTTCCCACACAGTGAATGGAAGGGCAGCTGAGTGGCATCTCCCGCCACTTAGCAAAGCAAGCACTTCTTGGCATTCTGTCCATAATTGGAAGGCATCTGAACCCCAGGGCTTATGGGCATGCATGCTTGCTTTGCGTTAGCTGCACTTAGGTGGACAGTTTATCCAACTTGATTCTCTCTGTGTGGTCACTGAACGCAGTACAAAACAACACCAGAAGCCAACGGACAATCTACAGAGCTTTGGTGGCCGCATTCCTGGTTTTTGGTGCCTAAATACAGACAGGCCATGGGATCGTTTGCTCTTGGCAGACAAATGGTCTAAAAGTCAACACTGTGCACTCGTCCCTCCTTAGGTGGCCGACTCGGCACACCCTTCACAGGAACATCGGACACATGTGACTAGTTTACCCAACTAGCACTTCGGTTCTGTGGGCTATAGGACTGACTGCTAGAATTTACTGATACAAAGAAGCTGACTACAAAGCTTATTTTTCCCCTTTAAGAGCTCTTTATTTTTTTATTTATTATGTATAAAAGAGCTCTTTATTAAACCAGTTCTGATCTAAAACATTTGCTATAAAAAGGCTGGTAACAAACTTGTGATTTTGATTTTTTTTTTCTGACTAACTACCAAGAGTACTTAAGCAAGGTCATTACAAAACTTTGATATAAAACATGGAAAAAAGAAGGCAGTAAAACTGTCTACCCAGAAATTGGTGATTCAAGCACAGTATAAATATTTTTATAAAAAAGTATAAAAATTAGTACCCTGTCTCATTTCTACAAAACACAGAATAGAAAGATTTTTTTAAAAAAAAAAAAACCCAGACTCTGTAAACTTTATTGCCGAAATAGTTGCTTGAATGCTGGTGATTTAGATCAAATTTTCTTCCATTTCCTCACAAAAGAAAGAGAGAGGGAGAGACAGACAGAGCAACAGAGACAGAGCAAGACGGAGTTGGCGTGGACACTACAGAGACTGAACAAGGCCCAGCCAGGAAAGTAAAGTTAATGTACTTCCATCAGAACCAGCTCCCCTTCAACAGCCCAGAGACCGTATTTTTGTTTGTTTTGTTTTTGTTTTTTTGGGAGGGACACACAGGTCCCTTCCCCCTTCCTGAAGAGGCATTTGAAGAAGCCCACAGGTGATGGGCAGCATGGACCCTCTCAGCCCGAGGCCGGCAAGGGCTCGAGGATGCTCCGGGGGCTCTCTGACAAGGCGATTCTGTTCAGCTTGCCCACCTCTGCCTGCCACCCTGGGATCTTCTTGGTCGTCATGTGGCGCCGGGCGTGCTTTGTCAGGTGGTCGCTCCGCATGAAACGCCGCTCACACACAGGACACACAAACTTCTTCTCCCCTGTGTGGGTTCTGCGGTGGCGAGACAGTTCGTCTGACCTTGCAAACTTCTTGTCACAGCCGTCCCAGCTGCAGGTAAAGGGCTTCTCCCCTGGCGGAAAACAAATTAAAGTAAGAGTGCTCACTCAGCATCTTACGGAGGGCTGCCCACAGGTCTCTTCACCAAACCTCAGAAGAGGGACACCTGCTGCTCTAGTCTGGGCGGCTCAGAAGTCAGCAAACCCTCCACCAAACACTTCTTCTGACGTCGCGGTGTGTGTGCCAAAGCCCACAGGCACCGCACTAGGCTAAACTGTTCAAAACTTTTACCCATGCACTTTTGTGCAGCTTCGTATTTTGCTTTTCTGATGAAGACTCATTATGCAGCCCAGGCAGGTCTGGAACTTGGAATCCACTTCAGTCCTGGAGTTAGAGGCATGTGCCTCCACCCCTGGTTTTAAAGATGCATTTTAAGATAAAAACAAATCTCTTATACTTGGGGAAGACTTTTATGAGACAGGGTCTCACTATGTAACCCTGGCTGGCCTGAAACTCAGTATATAGATTAGACCTCAAACTCAGAGATCCTCCTGCCTGAGTGCTGGGATTAAAGGCGTGTGCCACCATCCCTATTTTTTTTCTTTGATAGAGTTGTGCTAAGTAGCCCAGGCAGGCAGGGAACTTTTTTTGGGGGGGGTGGGGGTGGGATAGGCATTTTGAGACAGGGTCTCATGAAAGCAAGGACAGCCTCCTACGCCCTGTTTAGCAAAGGAAGACACTGAACTGAGTCTCCTAACCCCACCTCTTACGTGCTGGGATCAAACCTGGAGCTGCATGCATGCCGGGCAACTGACTCCCATCCACAGATGTGGGAGGAAAATTCTTAAAAAAAAAAAAAAAAAGAATCCTTTCTCTCTTGGGATAAACTGTACACCTCCCAGAAAGTCCTTCCAAGAAGCTTTAAGCCTTCTTAGAATCATTATTTCGAGTCCATATTTCTTATCACGCTAACAAGAAGGTTATATTAGTTATTTTCCATGTTGTTACAAGTGTTTAATTACTTTCCATATTGCTGACAAAAGTAAATTGAGGGAGTTTATTCTGGCCCTGTTGGAGGGTACAGGTCCATCATGGTGGAGATTGTGGCGGCTGGTGATAATGGGTCCACAGTCCAGAAGCGAGAGTGAACGCTCCTGCTCGGCTTGCTGGCCTCTTATTTATCCAGTCCAGCCCCAGGTAATATGGCTCCTCCCAGCTCTAACTAATGTAGATAGCCCCTCACAGGCACACCCAGGCTTGTCCACTAGGTGACTCTAGATCCTGTCAAGTTGTCAGTAGTAACCACACAGAAGGCAGATATATATA